TTTTGCTCATTATTGCTCATTATTACTCATTATTGCTTATTATTGCTCATTATAACTCATTATAAATCATTATTACTCATTATAAATCATTATTACTCATTATAAATCATTATTACTCATTATAAATCAGTACTCATTATTGCTCATTATTACTCATTATTGCTCATTATTGCTCATTATTGCTCATTATTACTCATTATTGCTCATTATTGCTCATCATTACTCATTATTAATACTCATTATTACTCATTATTGCTTATTATTGCTCATTATAACTCACTATAACTTATTATTGCTCATTATTACTCATTAGTCATTATAATTCATTATTACTCATTATAACTCATTATTGCTCATTATAACTCATTATTGCTCATTATAACTCATTATAAATCATTATTACTCATTATAACTCATTATTGCTCACTATAACTCATTATTGCTCATCATTACTCATTATTAATACTCATTATTACTCATTATTGCTTATTATTGCTCATTATAACTCACTATAACTTATTATTGCTCATTATTACTCATTAGTCATTATAATTCATTATTACTCATTATTACTCATTATTGCTCATTATAACTCATTATTGCTCATTATAACTCATTATAAATCATTATTACTCATTATAACTCATTATTGCTCACTATAACTCATTATTGCTCATTATTACTCATTATAAATCATTATTACTCATTATAACTCATTATAACTCATTATTGCTCATTATAACTCATTATTGCTCATTATAACTCATTATTGCTCATTATTGCTCTTTCTTATGTAAACTCCTCCTCTCCACAGCTAACAAACATACTTTAAGGACGTTTTGCTAACATTCCCATTAAGTTATTAAAACGTTATTTCTGAACGTTCAAAACATATACTTTTTAAAATGTTCTAAAACGTTTTTTCTTGGTTATGTGAACGTTTTTAAATGTTGCTACTGTCACGGCTGTATTGTGTTTTCTGCCGTGTGTGTGTGTGTGTGTGCTGGGGGTAATCAGCCGGATTGGACGCACAGGTGTGCCTGTCGATAAGAGCTTGCTGTTTGGCGTCCTCGGGAGCGTTCCTGTCTGTTTCCTCGATCCCTGGCCAGGACCGAGATGTTGCTCGGCGTTGCGGTGTATTGATAATAGTTTGAAGAATGTGAAAATAAAGAGAGTATTGTAACCGCCGAAAACGCTTTCTCCTCCTTCATTGTTGCTCCCTATTAAGGGCGTAACAATTGGAGGCTCGTCGAACTAAAATTTGTGTTTGGATTTGTGCGAATTTTTTGTTTGGAAAAACTTTGTCTTTGAAGGAGGATAAAGGTAGGATATGTGAATGGATTACATTTGTATATTATCCGCCTATTTTGTAAATTGGTAAAGTTGGACCGCTCCGTTAGATTGTTAGGCTCTATAACATAATTAGTTTGGGGTGTATAAAGGAACAAACCTTCCCATGTATAGGTATAGTGCGTGTTTTCGGACACGTAGGGTTTTTGTTTTAGTTTGTTATTTTTGGCTGGCTCGGCACACCCGAGGTTTGGAGGGCGACTCGGCAATTGGTCGTCTTTCCAAACTTGCGGGATTTAGTGCGTAAGTACCCAGTCTTGGGCCAGCTGAAGATCAGGGATCAGGGTCTACATCATTTGAGGGTATGGTTTAGTTTCCTTAAAATAAACCCAGATTTTTTGTTTAAATTTTGTGTGAGATATTTGCTGAGCGGTGTTTTGTGGGCTCAATTACTGTGAATTATGGCAACCGATGTTATTGAGTCATTCGTGCAGACTCCGTCTGAGGAGTTGTTATATGTAATGACTAAAGAACAATTTTTAGAGCTAGCTGCGCATTATGAAATCGAGCTGACCTATAACCAAAAAAGGTCCAAAGAGGGAATCAAGTTAATCCTTGAGTATACACTCACCTAAAGGATTATTAGAAACACCACACTAATACTGTGTTTGACCCCCTCTAGCCTTCAGAACTGCCTTAATTCTACGTGGCATTGATTCAACAAGGTGCTGAAAGCATTCTTTAGAAATGTTGGCCCATATTGATAGGATAGCATCTTGCAGTTGATGGAGATTTGTGGGATGCACATCCAGGGCACGAAGCTCCCGTTCCACCACATCCCAAAGATGCTCTATTGGGTTGAGATCTGGTGACTGTGGGGGCCATTTTAGTACAGTGAACTCATTGTCATGTTCAAGAAACCAATTTGAAATGATTGGAGCTTTGTGACATGGTGCATTATCCTGCTGGAAGTAGCCATCAGAGGATGGGGACATGGTGGCCATAAAGGGATGGACATGGTCAGAAACAATGCTCAGGTAGGCCGTGGCATTTAAACGATGCCCAATTGGCACTAAGGGGCCTAAAGTGTGCCAAGAAAACATCCCCCACACCATTACACCACCACCACCAGCCTGCACAGTGGTAACAAGGCATGATGGATCCATGTTCTCATTCTGTTTACGCCAAATTCTGACTCTACCATCTGAATGTCTCAACAGAAATCGAGACTCATCAGACCAGGCAACATTTTTCCAGTCTTCAACTGTCCAATTTTGGTGAGCTCTTGCAAATTGTAGCCTCTTTTTCCTATTTGTAGTGGAGATGAGTGGTACCCGGTGGGGTCTTCTGCTGTTGTAGCCCATCCGCCTCAAGGTTGTGCGTGTTGTGGCTTCACAAATGCTTTGCTGCATACCTCGGTTGTAACGAGTGGTTATTTCAGTCAAAGTTGCTCTTCTATCAGCTTGAATCAGTCGGCCCATTCTCCTCTGACCTCTAGCATCAACAAGGCATTTTCGCCCACAGGACTGCCGCATACTGGATGTTTTTCCCTTTTCACACCATTCTTAGTAAACCCTAGAAATGGTTGTGCGTGAAGATCCCAGTAACTGAGCAGATTGTGAAATACTCAGACCGGCCCGTCTGGCACCAACAACCATGCCACGCTCAAAATTGCTTAAATCACCTTTCTTTCCCCTTCTGACATTCAGTTTGGAGTTCAGGAGATTGTCTTGACCAGGACCACACCCCTAAATGCATTGAAGAAACTGCCATGTGATTGGTTGATTAGATAATTGCATTAATGAGAAATTGAACAGGTGTTCCTAATAATCCTTATTTATTTCATTCATGTATATTTTCCATTGACTTACTAAATTACATATTTGTAATTTATAATACCATGATGAAAAGGAGGCAGGATGAAGAATATCTTATATTTCCTGCCCCCTCCACAAAAGGATAAAATAAAAAAAAAAACTCAACATATCAAAAGACTCAGCATATCAAGTCCCCGTCAATACATGACGATAACTAATGAAACAAACCACCTAATCCTTTAGGTGAGTATACGTTGTTGTTTCAGAATGTTCAGAGAACCTTCAAAAGTAGCGTTCCCATAATAATGTTTGAACGTTTCCTCCAGTGTTTCGATCTTCAAACATCATTATGGGATGTTGCTTTTGAAGATTCTCAGAACGTTCTCAAGTAGCAACATTTGAAACCGTTTCCGAAATAAAAACGGTCCATGAACGATGTATGAATAATGTTTAGTGCTGATGTTCTGAGAAGATTATTAACGACCAGAGAACTAATGCTAATGTTCCTGGTCTGTAACTCTGAGAGCGTTCTGTGCTCTCTGGTCTTCATGTTTGGGTTGAGGTTCAGGAACTGATGATTAACTGTAGGTTATGTTTCTGTGTGATTTCCTCATCAGATAAAGCCTTCTGATCAGAACCTTCATCCGCATTATTCAGAGATCATCAGTTATTATCAGCTCTTCTGCAGAACTCGTTTTCTAAGCGAGAAGTGAAGTCTATTCTCTTATTACTGTGTGTGTGTGTGTGTGTGTGTGTGTGTGACTGACAGCGACCCGACAGACAGACATTAATGATGAACACAGCGACTGCACACACACACACACACACACACACACACACACACACACACAAACACACACACACACACACACACTCTCACACACACACACTCTCTCTCACACACACACACACACACACACACACACACACACACACACACACACACACACACACACACTCTTCACTCTTCACTCACACACACACACACACACACACTCATGGATGGATCACAGTATCTACAGTGTACTCCTGGAATGAGTTTTTGAGTGAAACTGAAAGAGTTTCGGGTCACATGGTCTTCCACTGTTCATCAAACAATATGACGGAAGTCCCTCAAAACTGTTTGATTCCCAACATCCTTCAAACTATCTCGTACAGTGCAACATGATGACAATATTCGTATTCAGCTGGATTGTCCCTTTAACAGGATCATCCTGAACTTATTTTAAATGTTATACCAGTTTATATAACAAGAAACTAATGTTACCAATATAATGCCAATGGCTTCTACTCAGGAAATACAGTTTAATCACATTAAAAGCCTAAAAACAGACAGCACAAATCAAGCACTGATTATAGGTAGATTCATAAAAACATTTTTTAAGATTCGAGGCTTTTAACCCTTTAGAACCTGAAGATAAAATCGATCCATCCCGTTTCAAACCCCTGAAGGTGAATCGACCAATAGAAGAGCCCGCTATTAAACGCAAACACGCACAATCCAGTGTTTCTTGCAAAAGCTAAATTAATATAATTTCCTTCGAGCATGAATCCGACATACCGACACGGCTGAAGGCCAGTGCTCATACTGGGACTTACCTCGAGCTGCCACTCAAACCAGTGCAAACTGCACTCACAATAACACGGAGATTCCAGAGATATAATAACACATCATTTATTAATACTCAAACATGCATCCGTTCCGCGTGCAGTAACGGGATACTGACCTTGCAGAGTAACGGCACTGCGTTCATAATGTTATTTGCATCAGCTTTCTTAAGATCTGGGGAAATGAAGACGCGTCTGGAATAATAACGCATCTAAAGGACAGACGGATGCAATGATGAGGATCCATCGGGAATAAAATCATTTATTATTATCATCATGATTTACCTGTAGAAGGATCAGCTTTGCTTCATAAAGGCAAAGCGCGTTTTCCCACAGAAATCTCCAAGTCACCGCATTTTCAGCAGGTCCTCCTCCTCCTCCTTCTTCTTCTTCTTCCAGATGACCCAGATATATCCCTGGACATCAGAGCCTCTCGCATCCCTCTCTCCTGGTGCTCTTCCACATCTGTGTGACCTGTGAGTGATTAAACCCTCGGTGTCGATCTTATATTCATCAGATGTGCGCTAATAAACCCGCAGGCAGGATCGCCTCTCCGCATTACAGTGATGCGCCCAGTCCGCCAATCCTAGCACGGCGAGGGCGAGGCTCATGAATATTCATTAGGTCATGCTGCAGTCCGTCCAATTGGACGGCTCGCTCTGGAATATTAATCAAACAATGCTGACGTTTAGACATTACCCGTTATATATATTGTAGGCCTATATATATTATATATACGTAACATATAAATATATGTAACGTAATAATATATATATATATATATATATATATATATATATATATATATATATATATATATATATATATATATATATATTTATACTCAATGTATGTTTTTTGGCGTTATCTGGTTGCATTCCAATAGGAATGAAATACAAAATAATTACATATTGTTATTTATTGTAGCCTATTAGTGTTTATATTGCGGTGACATTTTACAATAAGGTTTTATTTGTTAACATTAGTACTTATCATTACTGAACAATACATCATTTATTACACTCAGTTAATGTTCATTTCAACATTTACTAATACATTTTTAAAAAATAAGCAAAAAACTGTTGTATTTTTATTAACAAACATTGTTAGTTCAATGCATTTACTAAATGAGACCTTACTCTAAAATGTTACCGATATTGTATAATACTCGCGTTGTTATCGTCCAATGGGGAAACGCGGATGTGGAATATTAATCTGGTCATGCTGACGTTGAGCTCTTCTCCTCCAATGGCGAGGCGCGGGCTCATGAATATTAAGTGCCAGTCCTTCCCCATAGTAGGACTAGCGGATTCTGTTCTTTCTCCAGCGGTTTCTCAGAGAAAACGCCTTTCTGGAGACATGCGCCGACTCAGATCGCAGATAAACAGCCAGATGCTGTCAGATGGGTGGGATTGATTGATTGATTGATTGATGTCAGGAGACACATCATCATCAGCTCATATATCGGAGATCAATAAAACATGCATGTGATCGCGCATGTCTGTTTTCTCAGTGTATGTGTGTGTGTGTGTGTGTGTGTGTGTGTGATCATGTGTTTACAGTGGTGGATCCTCATGACAAACTGCAGATTACAGCAAACGTCTCCTTCAAGATTAAAATACTGTAGTTTGTTTTGTTTAAATAAAACTCTGGCTTGCAGAATTTGAGCATTCAAGCATAAGCAATTTTATAAATGTAGGGGAGATCAGTTGTCCTCTCATGTCATATCTATGAGGTTTTGAGCCATAAATGCATGTTTTGTTGCTTTTAAACTCTTAAATTATAATAATTTTTAGAGTAAAACACACTGACACATGAAAGCCTCTTTTCGAGACACGTATTTCCATTTCTATTTCCGTAAATCATTTACATTCTGTTCTGTTTCATGAGTTGTTTTATGATGCCTGAAGCTTGAACATCTTCTAATCCTCAGTTTAATAGCAGAAGCTGCGGGAGAAATAACACGTTCCTGGGTTTATCTGCTGTTGTTGATGAGGAACTGCTGGTATGTGAGGGAATCTGTGTGCTGGCCGGTCCTGCTCTTCTTCTTCAGGAAACCTGTCAGGTCATCACGAGGAGGATCCGCTACGCTACGACTCCAGCGCGGCTCCGAGACCCCGAGCAGCTCTGCTAGCTTAGCGGAGATGGTCTGAGACACACACACACACACACACACACACATCAGCAGAGACAGACATCTGTGTGTGTGTGTGTGTGTGTGTGTGTGTGTGTGTGTGTGTGTGTGTGTGTGTGTCCAACTCAACGCCATGAAGCTAATGAGCAGTTTCAGGAGTTCTGGGTGGTTGCTAGGCTGTTGCTATGTGTTTCCTAATGTGCTCTGGGTGGTTGCTAGGATGTTGGTATGTATTTTCTTAATATGTTTGGGTGGTTGCTAGGGCATTGCTATGCATTTCCATTTAGGGCGTTGTTATGCATTTCTTAATGTGTTCTGGCTGGTTTCTAGGGCGTTGCTATGTGTTTCCTAATGTGTTCTGGTTGGTTGGTAGGGCATTGCTATGTGTTTCCTAATGTGTTAAGGGCAGTTGCTAGGGTGTTGCTATGTGTTTCCTAATCTGTTTTTGGAGGGTTGCTAGGGCATTGCTTTGCGTTTCCTAATATGTTCTGGGTGGTTGCTAGGGCGTTGCTGTGCGTTTCCTAATATGTTTTGGGTGGTTGCTAGGGTGTTGCTATGTGTTTCCTAATATGTTCTGGGTGGTTCCTAGGGCCTTGCTATGTGTTTTCCTGATATGTTCTGGGTTGTTGCTAGGGTGTTGCTATGCATTTCCTAATATGTTATGGGTGGTTGCACGGGCGTTGCTATGTGTTACCTAATATGTTCTGGGTGGTTGCTAGGGCGTTGCTATGTGTTTTCCTAATATGCTCTGGGTGGTTGCTAGGGTGTTGCTATGCATTTCCTAATATGTTCTGGGTGGTTGCTAGGGTGTTGCTATGCATTTCCTAATATGTTCTGGGTGGTTGCACGGGCGTTGCTATGCGTTTCCTAATATGTTCTGGGTGGTTGCACGGGCGTTGCTATGTGTTTCCTAATATGTTATGGGTGGTTGCACGGGCGTTGCTATGCATTTCCTAATATGTTATGGGTGGTTGCACGGGCGTTGCTATGTGTTTCCTAATATGTTATGGGTGGTTGCTAGGGCGTTGCTCCTACTATGTTCTGGATGCTTGCTAGATACATTGATAAATTGCCCAAAACTGATATATTATTTTTTATGCGTCATGCAGTTTAAATCTCAGAACATATTTCCAGTATTAAAATGTGACATTTATGTATGACTTTATGAAAACATCATGACTTTAACTCAATAATGTGTGTGTGTGCTGGTGGTGCTGTGCCTTCATGTGCTGGAAGTCGCTGATGCCCAGTTTGGGAAGGCTAATGCAGGAGATGTGGACCAGCTTTCGGCCTGTGATGAAGTTCTCCGTGAAACACGCCTGAGGGAAACACACATCACACTTACTCAGTTCAGTGTCATGCACACCTCTTCCACTATACTTCAGCTATACACTTATTATATACTTTTTTTTAATAAAATTTTTATTACTTATTTTTAATAAAATATAAAGATGAGCCAGTGAATCTTCTGCTGACATGATGCAAACGCAGCTCAGCTGAGTAATGATGAGGAAACGCCTGATGCTCATAATCATATCAACACACAGATCAACTTTACAGAGGAGGAGAACTAAACACACAAGATAACAGTGTGAAGTGTGTTACCTTTTCATTATAAATAACCTCTCCTCCTCTAATCACTATATTTATAATAATATGTTGAAATATAGTTGACCTTATACTGGGGGAATCCGATGGACTCGATCCAGAGCGCCACATCCTGACAACTCCAGTGCAGGAACTCCATGTTGTGTTGGGTTGCTATGGGAACCAGTCAACCAACACAACAGCCTGAGACGAGAGAGGGGGAGAGAGAGAGAGAGAGAGAGGGGGAGAGAGGGGTGTGTGTGTGTGTGTGAGAGAGAGTTATACTATACGCGTTAATATACACTCATTTTGCCAACATGAATTGCAAAAATTATACAAAAAAAATCATAAAAAAAATTTCATAACAGAATCGATGAGAAATGTATATGAATTGAGCTTTCTGTGCTCAAACATGTTTGTTTTGATGGAAATTGTCATTCATTTTCTTATGTTGGTTAATCTGAAGCCTGCATCATTTCTATTCCAACTTTAAAGTGTAGAATATTTATACATCATGGCTGTGTTTATTGTACTGCAAATGTATATGCTGATTTAAATAAAATATAAATGTATTACACTAATCGGAAGGGCTGCTGGTTCCAAACATCACGTGTTTGTCTCTTATTTCTGGCCACGCCCACACGCTGCACGTCATCACCTGCTGCTGTCAATCAAACTCCAGTTCAGCCAAAAACACGAGCTGGTTACAATCAATAAATCATAAATCGACACATAAACGCGACATAGACGCCCAGGACTCATAATCTGAGTCACATTCAAACCTTCTACTCGTGTTTTAAAGGTTTAACTCAACTAGTCAAAGGTTTGGGTGTAACTTTAGCGCGTTAGTGAGCTTCTACTCGTGTTTTAAAGGTTTAACTCAACTAGTCAAAGGTTTGGGTGTAACTTTAGCGCGTTAGTGAGCAATTAATAAACAACAACCGCCGCAAGTGATTGACATAAAGTATAAAACCTCGGATTAAAAGCGTTTGACTGCAAAAACGAGTAGAATGTGAGAGTTCAGCAGAGTTTAATGCTGATTCTGCAGTGGAACACTAAACATGCAAGAAAACCCAGTGATTTCGGCGAGCTGCACCTGAGGTGTGTGTGTGTGTGTGTGTGTTGTAATGTCTGAGGTTATTGTTCATGCACATGTTCAGTCCTGTATTTGACTGATGGATGTATTGATGGATTTGAAGGTGTGCTGACAGATCATCTGTGGAAGTCCCTCAGGGTGGGAAATGCCATGTTTATGTTAATTACGGTAATAATCTGCTAGTGTGTGTGATATATAAACCCCGTCAGAGTCTGGCAGTGTGTCTTGTCTTCCTCCAGTGATGATGAAGATGCTGATGCTGCTGCTGCTGATCCAGGTGTCCTCCTCTTCCTCCTCTTCCTCCGCTGGTTTCTCAGTGGGGTGCGGGAACGCTCTTCCTTCGCTCAGTCGTCCTGCTAACGCCAGTCAGATCTTCTACGGCATCATGTTCGACGCGGGCAGCACCGGCACTCGCATCCACGTCTACACCTTCACCCAGAGAGAGCCAGGTGAGACTCAGGTGTCTGTGAGGAAGGACGCTTTATTTCCAGAACAGCTCGTTTCCCAGCAGCTTCACAGATAACACAATCAATGAGGCAAACTTCATCAAATTTAGGGCTGTGCAACGATTAATCGCATCCAAAAGTTTGTGTCTACAGTGTGTACGGTTGGGAATCGAAAATCGAATTTTATAACAAATTTTTATAAAATTAAAAATTCGATTCCTACGGTGATATCTCTATTGATAATGATATCTACGTTTTTTTTTTACCTTGTTGGAATCGAAATTAGGAATCAATAAGAATTGGAATGACAAACAGAATCAAAATTGGAATCGTTAAAATTCAAACGATACCCAACCCTAGCGTATAATTATTTTGTATATATAAACACACACACACACATGCATGTATATTTAAGAAAAATGTGTTATTTCTATATAATATATTTATATTTCTATATATAATATAAATTATATATACAATATATACATGCAAATATGTCCTAAAAATATACATGCGTGTGTGTATTTATTTATTCAAAATAATTAAACGCAGTACACACACACATATGTTATGTAAACACGAACTTTTATTTTGGATGAGACGCGTTCAGATTCTGCTTTCCTTCAGGGTTTGAAACTTCTGATTCTGATCACACATAAAAGCAGAGTTATAGTTATTAAACTAGTTTTGAGTGGTGAGTTTTTCTGTTTGCAGAACTTCAGAAATAAACCTGATTTATTTGTGACTAACTAAGACACAGTCATATTTCGTAAGTGTTTTAATATATTATCAGGTATAGAAAATTAAGATTTATTAGCGCATTAAGATGTTGGCATTGTACTAATTAAGCACTTTTCCCCTCGTCTATCTCATTACTGTAATGCAAAATAATCTATGAGTATTTGTAATTTTTGTATTAAATTGTAAAATACTTTGTTTTTATTGTTATGCAAATGTATGCAGATTTAAAATACAAAAACAATTACACTAATTAGAATCTCATGAAAAATATCATTAGTTTTTCATAAATAAAATGAAGCCTTTTTGGGTGCATTAAGATTTTTGCATTGTGATAATTAAACACATTTTCTCTCTACATCTCATTACTGTAATTCAAAATAATCAGATTCTAATGAGTTTAATGTCAGATTTATTTGCTATTTAAATTATAAAATATTTGCATTTTTATTTATAACATTGCAAATTTATGCTGATTTAAATAACACATACACTAATTAGAATGCAATGAAAAATAATATATTTTTTATAAATAATAATTTTTTTAGGTGCATTAGTTTTTTGCATTGTGATAATTATTAAGCACATTTTCTATTTACAGTTTTTTTCGATTGCTAAACGACAGTGAGCACAACTGGAGCTACATGTGCAAAACTCTAACTACAGTCTGCACTACCAACAGTCCCCTGCGCTAAACAGCTCACATCACCTGCAAAACTCACTCAAAGCAACACAACTCTTAACACATGGCTCAAAACAGGCTCAGTGCAGCCAAACACTACACAACCCTCACTGAGATAACACACACTGTCACTCAGAACACGCTGAGAGTAAAAACACTAGCATCAAACACCAATACAGAAAATACTAACTTTTCATCTTTACAGTTTGAACAATTTCAGTGACTTCATAGAAAGTAATATTTTCTTCAATGAAAAGATTGACATTCTTTCACATGATTTATTTACATTTTTAGAACATAACAATTCTTTAAGGTAAATGAAAATGAGCAGTTTGCTTCAATAGTCTGTAGTACTGTAATTTACGAAATTACAGTAATGAGAAAAAAGGTAGAAACTAAAAGTACATACTGTAATTCTAACAAATAATTGAGGGGCTAATCCTGCTTCTCTCTAGCATCAGGCCACAGGTTTTCGTCCACATCACATCTAATGTTCTCTCTTGCCATGCACCTGTGGAAGAACCTTCTGGAGTGCCGTATCCATCCCTGGCAGTCCTCTGGACTCGTGGCCTCACATCCGGCACGCATGGCTTCCAAAAGAGACATTTGGTCATGTGGGTGGTGATCAAACACTTTCCACCTCCAGGCAGAGAAAAACTCCTCTATTGGGTTGAGGAAGGGTGAATATGCAGGCAGGTACAAAATCATAAATCTGCGATGTGCTGTAAACCAATCTGTGACAGCTGCAGAGTGGTGAAAAGCAACGTTATCGCAAACTATGACAAAAACTTGGGGGTTTCTCACTGGCTCCCTTTGTTCTGCTGGCACTAGCTGAGCATAGAGCTCTTCTAGGAAAGCTATAAGCCTTTCTGTGTTGGATGAGCCAATGAGTGGTGTGTTGAGAAGCAAACCATCATTGGCCATTGCAGCACACATGGTGATATTCCCCCCCTTTGCCCTGGAACCTCCAAAGTGGCTCTTTGACCTATAACATTCCTTCCTCTATATCTGTGTAAATATTCTATAATTGCAATACAAAACAATTTCCTGTAATGTTTTTATTTATTGTAAGGATGTAACTCTCACCTGTTTGTACGATGGAAAATTCGCATTACAGATGCCACTGTGGATCTTTGCAGATTGGGTTGCACCCTCAACCCTGCCTCTCTCAATGAGAGACCATAGTTCACGACATGGTCTATAAGTGTAGCCCTTATTTCATCTGAAATAACAGCTCTTTGTCTTCTTTGTCTCCCTCAATGAACCCGTCTTCCTTGTTCCATTTCCAAAATTAGTCTTTCTGAGCTCTACCTATATATATATATATATATATTTGTGTGTGTTCACTAACAAGTCTAAAACAAGACACCTGCTTAGCCTTTCAGCTGAAATTGCACTCAGCAGTGTGTGTGTGTGTGTGTGTGTGTGTGTGTGTGTGTGTGTGTGTGTGTGTGTGTGTGCACTCAGCAGTGTTTGAAAGGCACAAAGCTGAAATCTATTCTGTTTTGAATGTGTGGTTCACAGTTTTGACAGCAGTGTGTTAGCATTTGAACAAAGTGCTGTAAATCCACAGTGTTGTGCAGGTTGTGGTTAAAGTCATGGGATAAGTGTGTAGAGTTTTGAAAACTGTGTTCAAGCACTGAAAAACGAACTAGTGTTTGGTCCACATGAACTGCTGCTGTTAGACTGGAGTTAGAGTTTTGCACATGTAGCTCCAGTTGTGCTCACTGGCGTTTAGCGATCGAAAAAAACTGTAATGCAAAGTAATGTTTAATGTATAATTATTTGTAATATTGTAATTTAAATAGTAAAATATTGATTCTATTTTATTGTACGGCAAATTTGTGCTGATTTAAAAAAATGACTAATTAGAATCTAATATATAGCCTATTAAAAAAAAGATTTAAAAGGTGCTTTAAGATTTTTGCATTGTGATAATTAAGCACATTTTCTATTTACATCTCATTACTGTAATGCAAAATAATTGGATTCTAATGATTTTAACATGAGAAATATTTGTTTTTAAATTGTGAAGTATTATTGTTGATGTGTGAAGGGATGCACTGTAAACGTGTGTGTGCGGTGTGTGTTGTGTGTGTGTTGTGTGTGCTGTGTGTGTTGTGTGCTGTGTGTGTTGTGTGCTGTGTGTGTTGTGTGTGCGGTGTGTGTTGTGTGTGCGGTGTGTGTTGTGTGTGTGTTGTGTGTGTTGTGTGCGGTGTGTGTTGTGTGTGCGGTGTGTGTTGTGTTTATTGATTATTGTTGTGTGTGTTGTGTGTGGTGTGCGTGTTGTGCGTGTTGTGTGTGCGGTGTGTCTTGTGTTTATTGTTTATTGTTGTGTGTGTGTGTTGTGCGTGCTGTGTGTGTTGTGTGTGTGTGTGTGTGTGTGTGTGGTGTGTGTGTGTGGTGTGTGTGTGGTGTGTGTGTGGTGTGTGTGTGTGTGTGTCTGGTGTGTGTGTGTCTGGTGTGTGTGTGTGTCTGGTGTGTGTGTGTGTCTGGTGTGTGTGTGTGTCTGGTGTGTGTGTGTGTCTGGTGTGTGTGTGTGTCTGGTGTGTGTGTGTGTCTGGTGTGTGTGTGTGTCTGGTGTGTGTGTGTGTCTGGTGTGTGTGTGTGTCTGGTGTGTGTGTGTGTCTGGTGTGTGTGTGTGTCTGGTGTGTGTGTGTGTCTGGTGTGTGTGTGTGTCTGGTGTGTGTGTGTGTCTGGTGTGTGTGTGTGTCTGGTGTGTGTGTGTGTGTGTCTGGTGTGTGTGTGTGTCTGGTGTGTGTGTGTGTCTGGTGTGTGTGTGTGTCTGGTGTGTGTGTGTGTCTGGTGTGTGTGTGTGTCTGGTGTGTGTGTGTGTCTGGTGTGTGTGTGTGTCTGGTGTGTGTGTGTCTGGTGTGTGTTGTGTGTGGTGTGTGTTGTGTTCAGAGGGATTGCCCGTGCTGGATAATGAGATGTTCCAGTCGCTGAAGCCCGGTCTGTCTGCGTATGCCGACGCTCCTGAGATCGTGAGTCACTGTTGGCTTTTATTGTTTGTTCAGACTGATCTCATGAAATGGCGTATGTATGACATGCCAATTCGTATTTCCATTTTTGGCGTGCTATCAACACGCATAATCGCTTTTCAGCGTGTTTATCAACGCCTTGACTTAACGTTACATTACTGTATATATAGATATATGACCTACCCCAGCCCCGTCCCTAAACCTACCCGTCACTGGGGTTAATGCCATTTATGAGTCTTCCCCTACCATCCTAGGAAAAAAAATATCGCTCCCCAGATGTAGATCTACATTTTGCTTTGTTTCGCTCGGACATTTAACGGCGTAGACATACGCGCAAAAGATGACGGTTCGTTTCGGCGTGGACACACACGCGGATAGCTCAAATAGCGTATAGATAACACGCCACTTGACTTGAAAGTGGCGTGTATGTTTACGCAAAGTCATGATGTCATGTTGGTTTGTTTGTCATCGTGTGTTTTGCGAGCAGTGCTGGGGAAAGTTACAATATTGCGTTACTCCCAAAAAAAGTAACTAATTGTTACTTTTTATGAAAAGTAATGCGTTACATTACTTTTGCGTTACTTTTTCTCATATGGGATGGGCTTCTTAATAACAACAAAAAAACTTCTATGTTTGGCAAATGTTAAGGCCCTTTTAGACCAAAAGTGAAATGAATAATCCTCAAACTGAAGGAAATGCATATTCACTTCTGTACGGTAGAGTACGGTAGAAGTAGAGGTAGAGGTAGAGGTAGAGGTAGAGGTAGAGGTAGAGGTAGAGGTAGAGGTAGAGGTAGAGGTAGAGGTAGAGGTAGAGGTAGAGGTAGAGTAGAGGTAGAGTAGAGTAGGAGTAGGGTAGGAGTAGAGTAGGAGTAGAGTAGGAGTAGAGTAGGAGTAGAGTAGGAGTAGAGTAGGAGTAGAGTAGGAGTAGAGTAGGAGTAGAGTAGAGTACGGTAGAGTACAGCAGAGGCAGTGTGAGGTACAGTAGAGTACAGTAGAGGTAGAGTACAGTAGAGGTAGAGTACAGTAGAGGTAGAGTACAGTAGAGGTAGAGTACAGTAGAGGTAGAGTACAGTAGAGTACAGTAGAGGTAGAGTACAGTAGAGGTAGAGTACAGTAGAGGTAGAGTACAGTAGAGGTAGAGTACAGTAGAGGTAGAGTACAGTAGAGGTAGAGTACAGTAGAGGTAGAGTACAGTAGAGTACGGTAGAGTACAGTAGAGTACGGTAGAGTACAGTAGAGTACGGTAGAGTACAGTAGAGGTAGAGTACAGCAGAGTACAGTAGAGGTAGAGTACAGCGGAGGTAGAGTGAGGTAGAGTACAGCGGAGGTAGAGTACAGTAGAGTACAGCGGAGGTAGAGTACAGTAGAGTACAGCAGAGGTAGAGTACAGTAGAGTACAGCAGAGGTAGAGTACAGTAGAGTACAGTAGAGGTAGAGTACAATAGAGTACAGTAGAGGTAGAGTACAGTAGAGTACAGTAGAGGTAGAGTACAGTAGAGTACAGTAGAGGTAGAGTACAGTGGAGGTAGAGTACAGTAGAGTACAGTGGAGGTGGAGTACAGCAGAGTACAGTGGAGGTGGAGTACAGCAGAGTACAGTGGAGGTGGAGTACAGCAGAGTACAGTGGAGGTAGAGTACAGCAGAGTACAGTAGAGGTAGAGTACAGCAGAGTACAGTAGAGGTAGAGTACAGCAGAGTAGAGTAGAGGTAGAGTACAGCGGAGGTAGAGTGAGGTAGAGTACAGCGGAGGTAGAGTACAGTAGAGTACAGCGGAGGTAGAGTACAGTAGAGTACAGTAGAGTACAGTAGAGTACAGTAGAGTACAGTAGAGGTAGAGTGAGGTAGAGTACAGTAGAGGTAGAGTACAGTAGAGGCAGAGTGAGGTAGAGTACAGTAGAGTACAGTAGAGTACAGTAGAGTACAGTAGAGTACAGTAGAGTACAGTAGAGTACAGTAGAGTACAGTACAGTAGAGTAGAGTAGAGTAGAGTAGAGTAGAGTAGAGTAGAGTAGAGTACAGTAGAGTACAGTAGAGTAGAGTACAGTAGAGGCAGAGTGAGGCAGAGTACAGTAGAGTACAGTAGAGTACAGTAGAGTACAGTAGAGGCAGAGTGAGGTAGAGTACAGCAGAGTACAGCAGAGTACAGCAGAGTGCAGCAGAGGCAGAGTGAGGTAGAGTGAGGTAGAGTACAGTATGGGGTAGAGTACAGTAGAGGTAGAGTACATTAGAGTACAGTAGAGTACAGTAGAGGCAGAGTACGATAGAGTGAGGTAGAGTGCAGTAGAGTACAGTAGGGGTAGAGTACAGTAGAGGTAGAGTACAGTAGAGTACAGTAGAGACAGAGTACGATAGAGTGAGGCAGAGTACAGTAGAGTACAGCAGGGGTAGAGTACAGTAGAGTACAGTAGAGGTAGAGTAGAGTACAGTAGAGTACAGTAGAGGTAGAGTAGAGTACAGTAGAGGCAGAGTACGATAGAGTGAGGTAGAGTACAGTAGAGCACAGTAGGGGTAGAGTACAGTAGAGGTAGAGTACAGTAGAGGTAGAGTACAGTAGAGGTAGAGTACAGTAGAGTACATCAGTGTAAAGTAGAGTGCAGCAGAGTACAGTAGAGTCTGGTAGAGCGAGTTAGACTACAGTAGAGTAGAGGTAGAGTACAGTAGAGGATAATACAGTAGAGGATAACACAGCAGAGTACAGTAGAGGCGGAGTACAGTAGAGTACAGTAGAGGCAGAGTACAGTAGAGGATAATACAGTAGAGTACAGTAGAGGCGGAGTACAGTAGAGGCGGAGTACAGTAGAGGCGGAGTACAGTAGAGTACAGTAGAGGTAGAGTACAGTAGAGGTGGAGAACAGTAGAGTACAGTAGTGTACAGTAGAGGTGGAGAACAGTGGAGTACAGTAGAGTACAGTAGAGTACAGTAGAGTACAGTAGAGTACAGTAGAGTACAGTAGAGTACAGTAGAGTACAGTAGAGTACAGTAGAGCACAGTAGAGGTGGAGAACAGTAGAGTACAGTAGAGGTGGAGAACAGTAGAGTACAGTAGAGTACAGTAGAGTACAGTAGAGGTGGAGAACAGTAGAGTACAGTAGAGGTGGAGAACAGTAGAGTACAGTAGTGTACAGTAGAGGTGGAGAACATTAGAGTACAGCAGAGTACAGTAGAGGTAGAATACAGTAGAGTACAGTAGAGGTAGAGTACAGTAGAGTACAGTACAGCAGAGTACAGTAGAGGTAGAGTACAGTAGAGTGCAGTAGAGGTAGAGTACAGTAGAGGACAGCAGAGTACAGTAGAGGTAGAGTACAGTAGAGTACAGTAGAGGTAGAGGACAGTAGAGGACAGTAGAGTCCAGTAGAGTACAGTAGAGTACAGTAGAGGTAGAGTACAGTAGAGTACAGTAGAGGTACAGTAGAGGTAGAGTACAGTAGAGGTAGAGTACAGTAGAGGTAGAGTACAGTAGAGGTAGAGTACAGTAGAGGTAGAGTACAGTAGAGTACAGTAGAGGTAGAGTACCGTAGAGGACAGCAGAGTACAGTAGAGGTAGAGTACAGTAGAGGTAGAGTACAGTAGAGGTAGAGTACAGTAGAGTACAGTAGAGGTAGAGTACAGTAGAGGTAGAGTACAGTAGAGGTAGAGTACAGTATGGTAGAATAAGATCATTGAAGGTCAGCAGCAAAGACATTGGTTAATAAAGTGAGGTTAAATACATTAACTATATTAAATTACACAAATATACTTTATTATAATTATTTTGGGTAAAATTCTAAAATTGCATTTTAGTGTTTTTATTCATTTTGAGGAATACTGAATGTTTTCGTGTAAGTGAGACGAGTAAATGCAAGTTCACGTTTAGTGTAGAACTACAATAACCATCATGTTTACACACACACACACACACACACACACACACACACACACACACACCCCGCCTCACTTTATTTCTCTCAACATGGGGACAGGAGAGCTGTCAGTCAATAAATGGGAAAAAGTAACTAGTGTTACTTGAAAATGTAATCTGATAATGTAACTGGAGTAATGCGTCCCCGAGGCTGAGTGCGGCTGCTGTCCCCAGGCCGGACACACGGTGGCGCTGCTCCTGCGAGTGGCCAAGCGGACGGTCCCTGCGCTGGAGTGGAAGAGGACGCCTGTGATGTTCAGAGCCACCGCTGGACTGAGACTGATGCCGGCCCATAAAGCCCACGCACTCCTGGAGCAGGTACAGCACACACACACACAGCACACCACACCACACACACTAACACACCACACCACACCACACACACACACACACACAGCACACCACACCACACACTCACACACAGCACACAGCACACAGCACACAGCACACAGCACACCACACACTCACACACACACACCACACCACACCACACACACACACACAGCACACCACACCACACACTCACACACTCACACACACACACACAGCACACAGCACACCACACACTCACACACTCACACACACACACACACACACACACACACACACACACACCACACCACACCACACCACACACACACACATAGCACACCACACCACACACACACACACACACACACCACACCACACCACACCACACACACACACACAGCACACCACACCACACACTCACACACAGCACACACACTCACACACCACACACTCACACACTCTCACACACACACACACACACACACACCACACCACACCACACACACACACACAGCACACCACACCACACACTCACACACAGCACACACACTCACACACAACACACTCACACACACACACACCACACCACACACTCACACACAGCACACACACTCACACACCACACACTCACACACACACACACACCACACCACACCACACACTCACACACAGCACACAGCACACAGCACACCACACCACACACTCACACACAGCACACAGCACACCACACCACACACTCACACACAGCACACACACATACACACACACACACCACACCACACACACACATACACACACACCACACCACACACACACACACACAGCACACCACACCACACACTCACACACACACACAGCACACCACACCACACACTCACACACTCACACACACACACACACACAGCACACCACACCACACCACACACTCACACACACACACACACACACACACACACACACACACACACACACACACACAGCACACACAGCACACCACAGCACACAGCACACCACACACTCACACACTCACACACTCACACACACCACACCACACCACACACAGCACACCACACCACACCACACACTCACACACAGCACACAGCACACCACACACACACACACCACACCACACACACACGCACACACACACACACACACACACACATACACACAGCTCACACAACACGCACACACACGCGCACGCACACACAACACACAGCTCACACAACAGAACACACACGCGCACACACACACACAACACACAACACACAGCTCACACAACATGTAATTTAATTGGTAATTTTTGTAATTTAAATTGTAAAATATTGGTTCTATTTTATTGTACTGCAAATTTATGCTGATTTTAATACTAATTTGAATCCAATAAAACACTGATCTGTCTGTGTGTGTCTCCAGGTCCGAGACGTCTTCGACGAGTCTCCGTTCTACGTTCCCGCTGACAGTGTCAGTATCATGACCGGGACGAATGAAGGTTTGTCCTCACACAACAACATGCACACCTGTAGAAATATCCCAGACGGCAACATCGTGTCCGCCCGGATCCGGCCCACATCGGGGCCGTGTGGAATCTGTGTGTGCCGGATCTGGGCCGTGTGGAATCTGTGTGTGCCGGATGCGGGCCGGATCTGGGCCGTGTGGAATCTGTGTGTGCCGGATGCGGGCCGGATCTGGGCCGTGTGGAATCTGTGTGTGCCGGATGCGGGCCGGATCTGGGCCGTGTGGAATCTGTGTGTGCCGGATGCGGGCCGGTTCTGGGCCGTGTGGAATCTGTGTGTGCCGGATGCGGGCCGGATCTGGGCCGTGTGGAATCTGTGTGTGCCGGATGCGGGCCGGATCTGGGCCGTGTGGAATCTGTGTGTGCCGGATGCGGGCCGGATCTGGGCCGTGTGGAATCTGTGTGTGCCGGATGCGGGCCGGATCTGGGCCGTGTGGAATCTGTGTGTGCCGGATGCGGGCCGGATCTGGGCCGTGTGGAATCTGTGTGTGCCGGATGCGGGCCGGATCCGTGCCGTGTGGAATCTGTGTGTGCCGGATGCGGGCCACATCCGTGCCGTGTGGAATCTGTGTGTGCCGGATGCGGGCCGGATCTGGGCCGTGTGGAATCTGTGTGTGCCGGATCCGTGCCGTGTGGAATCTGTGTGTGCCGGATGCGGGCCGGATCTGGGCCGTGTGGAATCTGTGTGTGCCGGATCTGGGCCGTGTGGAATCTGTGTGTGCCGGATGCGGGCCGGATCTGGGCCGTGTGGAATCTGTGTGTGCCGGATCTGGGCCGTGTGGAATCTGTGTGTGCCGGATGCGGGCCGGATCTGGGCCGTGTGGAATCTGTGTGTGCCGGATGCAGGCCGGATCTGGGCCGTGTGGAATCTGTGTGTGCCGGATGCGGGCCGGATCTGGGCCGTGTGGAATCTGTGTGTGCCGGATGCGGGCCGGATCTGGGCCGTGTGGAATCTGTGTGTGCCGGATACGGGCCGGATCCGTGCCGTGTGGAATCTGTGTGTGCCGGATGCGGGCCACATCCGTGCCGTGTGGAATCTGTGTGTGCCGGATGCGGGCCGGATCTGGGCAGTGTGGAATCTGTGTGTGCCGGATGCGGGCCGGATCTGGGCCGTGTGGAATCTGTGTGTGCCGGATACGGGCCGGATCCGTGCCGTGTGGAATCTGTGTGTGCCGGATGCGGGCCACATCCGTGCCGTGTGGAATCTGTGTGTGCCGGATGCGGGCCGGATCTGGGCCGTGTGGAATCTGTGTGTGCCGGATCCGTGCCGTGTGGAATCTGTGTGTGCCGGATGCGGGCCGGATCTGGGCCGTGTGGAATCTGTGTGTGCCGGATCCGGCCCACATCCGTGCCGTGTGGAATCTGTGTGTGCCGGATGCGGGCCGGATCTGGGCCATGTGGAATCTGTGTGTGTCAGATCTGGCCCACATCCGGGCCGTGTGGAATCTCTGTGTGCCGGATCCGGCCCACATCCGGGCCGTGTGGAATCTGTGTGTGCCAGATCCGCCCCACATCCGGGCCGTGTGGAATCTGTGTGTACCGGATGCGGCCCGGATCTGGGCCGTGTGGAATCTGTGTGTGCCGGATCCGGCCCACATCCGGGCCGTGTGGAATCTGTGTGTGCCGGATGCGGGCCGGATCTGGGCCGTGTGGAATCTGTGTGTGCCGGATGCGGGCCGGATCTGGGCCGACACTATGTTGCCTGATTAATTTGTAAGACACTGTCAAGATCACGTCCAGCTTTTATTTTATGGCAGAACCAGAATAAAGGAGCATTAGCCCAGATATCAGGGGAACGTTCTCTGGTTATGATCAAACGTTCTTCTAGTAACGTTAATAGAACATTCATTTAAAGTTATCTGGTCTTTAATAATGTTCATAAAACGTTAGCACAAAAAAATGTGTATGTTTGATTTTTATGACAGACACCATTTGTGTATTTATAAAGTTAGTTTTATAACTTCCTTGAGTGTAATTTAAGTGAAGAAACAATACAAGAAATGCAGTACAGAATGAGTGTGTGTGTTATAAGACGAGTGTGTGTGTTGTGTGTTATAAAGAAGTGTGTGTGTGTGTGTGTGTTGTTCTCAGGGATTCTGGCCTGGATCACAGTCAACTTTCTGACCGGTGAGTGTGTGTCTGGAGGTAATGCTGGATATAAGCTTATGAATCTCTCTCAACATTTAATGCTGTTTTACTTCAATGACCAATTGTTTTTTCAGTTATTACCTTACTGTTATTTTACATCTAGGCCTGATCAAGTTCACACGCTCATTCACTCAAAGCCAAACTCTGTTCAGATGTAAACAGACATTTATATTCAGAGATACAGGTGACACTCGAAAAACTAGAATATCGTGCACAAGTTCATTTATTTCAGTAATTCAACTTAAAAGGTGAAACTAATATATTATATAGACTCATTACATGCAAAGTGAGATATTTCAAGCCTTTATTTGTCATAATTTTGATGATTATGGCTTACAGCTTATGAAAACCTTTTCACAATTTGGGGTTTTCATAAGCTGTAAGCCATAATCATCACAATTATCTCGGTGTGTGTGAAGTGTCTGAGTGGCGTTACAGACGAGGTCTCGGTGTGTGTGAAGTGTCTGAGTGGCGTTACAGACGAGATCTGTGTGTGTGTGTGAAGTGTCTGAGTGGCGTTACAGACGAGGTCTCGGTGTGTGTGAAGTGTCTGAGTGGCGTTACAGACGAGGTCTCGGTGTGTGTGAAGTGTCTGAGTGGCGTTACAGACGAGGTCTCGGTGTGTGTGAAGTGTCTGAGTGGCGTTACAGACGAGGTCTCGGTGTGTGTGAAGTGTCTGAGTGGCGTTACAGGCGAGGTCTCGGTGTGTGTGAAGTGTCTGAGTGGCGTTACAGACGAGGTCTCGGTGTGTGTGAAGTGTCTGAGTGGCGTTACAGACGAGGTCTCGGTGTGTGTGAAGTGTCTGAGTGGCGCTACAGACGAGGTCTCGGTGTGTGTGAAGTGTCTGAGTGGCGTTACAGGCGAGGTCTCGGTGTGTGTGAAGTGTCTGAGTGGCGTTACAGACGAGATCTGGGTGTGTGTGAAGTGTCTGAGTGGCGTTACAGACGAGGTCTCGGTGTGTGTGAAGTGTCTGAATGGCGTTACAGACGAGGTCTCGGTGTGTGTGAAGTGTCTGAGTGGCGTTACAGACGAGATCTGGGTGTGTGTGAAGTGTCTGAGTGGCGTTACAGGCGAGGTCTCGGTGTGTGTGAAGTGTCTGAATGGCGTTACAGACGAGGTCTCGGTGTGTGTGAAGTGTCTGAGTGGCGTTACAGGCGAGGTCTCGGTGTGTGTGAAGTGTCTGAGTGGCGTTACAGACGAGGTCTCGGTGTGTGTGAAGTGTCTGAGTGGCGTTACAGACGAGATCTGGGTGTGTGTGAAGTGTCTGAGTGGCGTTACAGACGAGGTCTCGGTGTGTGTGAAGTGTCTGAATGGCGTTACAGACGAGGTCTCGGTGTGTGTGAAGTGTCTGAGTGGCGTTACAGACGAGATCTGGGTGTGTGTGAAGTGTCTGAGTGGCGTTACAGACGAGGTCTCGGTGTGTGTGAAGTGTCTGAATGGCGTTACAGACGAGGTCTCGGTGTGTGTGAAGTGTCTGAGTGGCGTTACAGGCGAGGTCTCGGTGTGTGTGAAGTGTCTGAGTGGCGTTACAGACGAGGTCTCGGTGTGTGTGAAGTGTCTGAGTGGCGTTACAGGTGAGGTCTCGGTGTGTGTGAAGTGTCTGAGTGGCGTTACAGACGAGATCTGGGTGTGTGTGAAGTGTCTGAGTGGCGTTACACACGAGGTCTCGGTGTGTGTGAAGTGTCTTAGTGGCGTTACAGACGAGATCTCGGTGTGTGTGAAGTGTCTGAGTGGCGGTACAGACGAGGTCTCGGTGTGTGTGAAGTGTCTGAGTGGCGTTACAGGTGAGGTCTCGGTGTGTGTGAAGTGTCTGAGTGGCGTTACAGGTGAGGTCTCGGTGTGTGTGAAGTGTCTGAGTGGCGTTACAGGCGAGGTCTCGGTGTGTGTGAAGTGTCTGAGTGGCGGTACAGACGAGGTCTCGGTGTGTGTGAAGTGTCTGAGTGGCGTTACAGACGAGATCTCGGTGTGTGTGAAGTGTCTGAGTGGTGTTACAGACGAGGTCTCGGTGTGTGTGAAGTGTCTGAGTGGCGTTACAGACGAGATCTGGGTGTGTGTGAAGTGTCTGAGTGGCGTTACAGACGAGGTCTCGGTGTGTGTGAAGTGTCTGAGTGGCGTTACAGACGAGATCTCGGTGTGTGTGAAGTGTCTGAGTGGCGGTACAGACGAGGTCTCGGTGTGTGTGAAGTGTCTGAGTGGCGTTACAGACGAGGTCTCGGTGTGTGTGAAGTGTCTGAGTGGCGTTACAGACGAGATCTCAGTGTGTGTGAAGTGTCTGAGTGGTGTTACAGACGAGGTCTCGGTGTGTGTGAAGTGTCTGAGTGGCGTTACAGACGAGGTCTCGGTGTGTGTGAAGTGTCTGAGTGGCGTTACATACGAGGTCTCGGTGTGTGTGAAGTGTCTGAGTGGCGTTACAGACGAGGTCTCGGTGTGTGTGAAGTGTCTGAGTGGCGTTACAGACGAGGTCTCGGTGTGTGTGAAGTGTCTGAGTGGCGTTACAGACGAGGTCTCGGTGTGTGTGAAGTGTCTGAGTGGCGGTACAGACGAGGTCTCGGTGTGTGTGAAGTGTCTGAGTGGCGTTACAGGTGAGGTCTCGGTGTGTGTGAAGTGTCTGAGTGGCGTTACAGACGAGGTCTCGGTGTGTGTGAAGTGTCTGAGTGGCGTTACAGACGAGGTCTCGGTGTGTGTGAAGTGTCTGAGTGGCGTTACAGACGAGGTCTCGGTGTGTGTGAAGTGTCTGAGTGGCGTTACAGACGAGGTCTCGGTGTGTGTGAAGTGTCTGAGTGGCGTTACAGGCGAGGTCTCGGTGTGTGTGAAGTGTCTGAGTGGCGTTACAGACGAGGTCTCGGTGTGTGTGAAGTGTCTGAGTGGCGTTACAGGTGAGGTCTCGGTGTGTGTGAAGTGTCTGAGTGGCGTTACAGACGAGATCTGGGTGTGTGTGAAGTGTCTGAGTGGCGTTACAGACGAGGTCTCGGTGTGTGTGAAGTGTCTGAATGGCGTTACAGACGAGGTCTCGGTGTGTGTGAAGTGTCTGAGTGGCGTTACAGACGAGATCTGGGTGTGTGTGAAGTGTCTGAGTGGCGCTACAGACGAGGTCTCGGTGTGTGTGAAGTGTCTGAGTGGCGTTACAGGCGAGGTCTCGGTGTGTGTGAAGTGTCTGAGTGGCGTTACAGACGAGATCTGGGTGTGTGTGAAGTGTCTGAGTGGCGTTACAGACGAGGTCTCGGTGTGTGTGAAGTG